TTTCACTGTGCAGTCGGGGATAATCTCCAACTTACTATATGCATGCTAACCTACCACTGAGTTATGCATTCAGCAACAATTACTTTTATGAAAAATTCTCACTAAGCCAGGTTCCAGTGGCTCACGTATATAATCCTAGCTACTCAGGAAGCTGAGATCTGAGAAGTGTGTTTCCAAGCCAGCCCAGGCAGAAAAGTCTGGGAGACTTTTATCTCCAATTAATTGCCAAAAAGCTGGAAGTAGAGGTGTGACTCAGGTGGTAGAGCACCAGTGTGGAGTAGAAAAAGCCATGAGAGAGTTCCAGGCCCTGAGTTCAAACCCCAGTACTGGCACAAGTGAAAAGAAAATTGTAATGACCAATTTAGCAGAAAACAAGTAGATTCTATTATCTGCTTCTTCTTTTTTTCCTGTAGGGGTGTGCTTTTTTATGTTTTTTTTTATTGTAAAAAACACTGTACAGAGGGGTTACAGTTACATGAGTAAGGTAATGAGTACATTTCCTATCCAGCATTGTTACCTTCTCCTTTGTTTTTTCCCTACCATCCCTTCCTCTCCACATCCCCAACTCCACACACCCCCAACCCCTCCCACCAATCCCACCCTCCCCTACCCCCGCCACCAAGTTGTAAAGTTGGTTTTCAACATAGTGTCTTGTACATCTCATTGTTACAATGGGTCAACCTGTATCCTTATTTCAGCATTTTGTTATTTTCCTTCCCCTCCGCAAATTAGAAAAATGTATATACAACATGCAGGGCACCGACATCAAATACAGTGAAAACAGGGGTTATATATACCATGGGGGAAGAACATTCAAGAGAAACAAAAAAAATCACATAGTACATTTTAAATTCATTAAAAACATCTATTATCTGCTTCTTATCTCAATCTTTAACAGGTCATAAAGCCACTGGAAACACTGAAACATCAAACAATATCTTAATATTATTATAGGAATGTTTGACCTTGAAGATTCAAGGTGGTCCTAGGGACCTGAGGTCCCAGGTCCCCAGATCAGGCTTTGAAAATCATTGCCTTAAGTAGAGATAGCTATGCCTAAAGCCAGGCCATTCCATCAACAATGGTTTTTCTTTGTTGTTGTTGTTTGTTTGTTTGTTTGTTGTGCCAAGTCCTAGGTCTTGACTCAGAGACTAGATACTGTTTCTGAGCTTTTCTGCTGAAGGCTGGGGCTCTAACAATTAAACTACAGAACCACTTTTGTCTTTTTTGCTGGTTAACTGGAGAGAAAGGCTCACAGATTGTTCTGCATGGGTTAGCTTTGAAGTATGATCTTCAGCTCTCAGCTATCCTTTTCTTTTTTTTTTCTTTCTTTTTTATGGCCCTAGGTCCTGAACTCTGGGACTGGGTACTGTTCCTTTTGCTCAAGGCTACAACTCTACCTCGGGAGCTACAGCACCACTTCTGTTTTTTTCTGTGATTAGTTGGAGATAAGAGTCTCACAAGGACAGGGAAGGAGGCTCAGTGGATAGAGTGCTTGTCTCTCATGCATGAGGCCCTGGGTTCAATTCCTCAGTACCACATAAACAGAAAAGGCTGGAAGTGGCACAGTGGCTCAAGTGGTACAGTACAAGCCTTGAGCTGAAGAGCTCAGGGACAGTGCCCAGGCCTAGAGTTCAGGCCTAGAGTTCAAGCCCAACAACAGACAAAAGAAAAAAAAAAAAGAGTCTCACAAACCTTTCCTTTCTGCCTGGGCTGGCTTCAAACAACCATTTGCAAATCTCAGCCTGCTGAGTAGCTAGGATTACAGGCATGAGCCACCAGTATCCAGCTTTCTTCTCTTTTTTGTTCAAAACAGTTTGCCAGGGATTGAACCAGCACTTTACCACATAGCTACACTCTCAGCCTCTATTTTTGTTAATATTTTAAAAATATTTGTTTGTTTATGGTACTGAGACTTAAACTCAGGGTTTCAAGTTTGCTAAACAATCTCTACAACTTGAGCCATGCCTTCAGCCCTTTTTGCTTTTATTTTTCAGGTAGGCTTTCATGCCTCAGCTCTCAATCCTCTACCTCTGCTTCCTGAGTAGCTAGGATTACAGACACATGTCGCTATGCCCAGCTTTTTGGGACTAATATTTTTCAATTTACTGTATTTTTTTTCAATACTTCCGAATTCAACATCTAAAAGATGTATTTCTGAAAATAAAGCCAGAGTGACATCTAGTGGTTCTTCTGGCTCATTGAAGTCATAGCAGACAAGTCTAGATTTGAAAGGTGATTTAGTCTAGAAAGAATGCCTCAGGGACCTGGGAAGGTGGCTCAGTGGTAGAGCACTTGCCTTGCATACATGAGGCCCTGGGTTCCATTCCTCAACACCACATAAGAAAAAAAAGAAAAAAAAGCCAGAAGTGGCGCTGTGGCTCAAGTGGTAGAGCACTAGCCTTAAGCTGAAGAGCTGAGAGACAGCGCCCAGGCCCAGAGTTCAGGCCCCACTACCGGACTCAAAAAAAAAAAAAAAAGCCTCAGAACAATCCCAAATAGACTAAATTGAACCTTACTTTACAGTTTGTATGTCTCTCAAGGAAATCTTTCAGATGTCATGTTTGCATTGGTTACAAGACTTCACTGGTTTCAATACTGAGGATTGACTCAACAGGCTTTCCATACCTCTGACCATCACAAAGTAAACGATATGTCTGTTCTGAAGGTACCACTCATTGAAAGGAAAAAGGAAAGCAGAAAATATAATTAAGACTAATAAGCAAAAAAGGTCAAAAAGCTATGTACATATGACCAGATAAGATGATGTTAAGCGAAATGAACCCCAAGATAGGGACACAAGTGTTTTTTTTTCTTTCTTGCTTGCTATTGTTACTAAGGTATTTATAATGTACCATGTGATTTTTTTTGTTTCTTTGTATGTTCCTCCCCCACTGTTTTCACTGTATTTGATGTTGGTGCCCTTCATCTTATAATCTGGTATATACACTTCTCTAGTTTAGGGAAGTGAAGGGAAAAAACAAAATGCGTAAGCAGGGATACAAGTTGACCCAGTGTAACAATGAGATGTACAAGATACTACATTGAAAAAAGGGGGTAAAGGGGGAGTGTAGTTGTGGAGGTAGGAGGGAAGGGATGGTAGAGGAAAAACAAAGGAAGAAGTAACAATGATAGGAAATGTACTCAATACCTTGCTCATGTAACTGTCACCCCTCTGTACAGTATTTTTACAATAAAAATATTTTAAAAAGACTAATAAGGATGTCCCTGCTAGAACTTCTGAAGCACAGGCTCTGCAGAATGTTGCATGGGATACCCCCAACAAATTTGGGATTGTGTGAAAATAAAGAAGGGAAGATGGGTGCAATTTACAGAACCTGCTCCACCAATTGGCCTAGGGGATGCCACAATCAACTCAAATCTTTTGGGAATGATCAAAAGGTTCTTCACTGAGTGAGATAATTTTACAGGTATATGTTAAAACTCACTAAAAGATACTCTTTAAATGGTTACATCTAGTTGAATGGAAATTCTATCTTGATAGAGTTAGATTTAAAAAACAAACAATAACAACAAAAATCCAACCTCTGCCAGACTCTGGTGGCTCAAGCTTGTAGTAATCTTAGCTATTCCAGGCTTGAGATATGAGAAACACTGAAACCAACCCCAGGCAGAGAAGTCTGTGAGATTCTTGTGAGCTGTGGCTCAAGTGGTAGAGCACCAGCCTTGAGCAAAAAAGCCAAGGGAGAGCTTGATACCCTGAGTTCAAGTTCCAGGACTGGTGTGCACACACGCGCGGGCATACACACACACATTTCAAAGACACCACGGACACGGGGCTGGGAAGGTGGCTCAGTGGTAGAGTGCTTGCCTTGCATGCATAAGGACCTGGGTTCGATTCCTCAGCACCACATAAGCAGAAAAAAAAAGCCGGAAGTGGTGCTGTGGCTCAAGTGATAGAGCGCCAGCCTAACCAGGCCCAGAGTTCAGGCCCCACGACCGGATCCCAAAAACAAAAAACAAAACAAAAAGCCACCACAGACACATAAATAATGCATAGACACACAAAGAATATTATTCAGCTTTAAAAAGGAGTGAAATTCTGACACATACTACAGTACAAATAAAACTTGAAGGTATGAAGTGAGAAAACAAATACTGTGTGGTTCTATTTAACCAAGGCACCAAGAGCACAGGGATTCATAGGAACAGAAATCGAATTGTGGAACTGGGTGCTGGTGGCTCGTGCCTGTAATCCTGGTATTCAGGAGACTGAGATTTGAGGATCTTGGTTCGAAACCAACCCAGGCAAGAAAGTCCTTGAGATTTTTTTTTTAATCTCCAATTACCCACCAAAAAGCCAGAAGTGGGGACTGTAGCTCAAGTGGTAAACCTCTAGACTTCCTTGAGTGATAAAGCTCAGGGACAGCGCCAAGGCCCAGAGTTCAAGCCTCTCCCCTCACCCCTCTCCCCTCCTCCTGCCCCCCCCCTCCCCAGGCCTGGCACCAGAAAACAGAACATAAGAAAGAAGTAAAATAGTGGGAACTGCTTCTACGTGGCCTAAAGTACTTGCCAGACCAGGACAACACGGCCTGCAGAAGGGAGGCAGAAGGAACAGAGAGACGTACCAAGTGGGGATGCGCATCCTGGGCTAGTTTCGCCGGCGGCGGAGACAAGATTTGAAGCCTGCTGGTTTGCAACTAGCCCGCTTCCCGCTCGGCCGTGGGGGCGGGACTTTGGCGCTCTGTTGCTCCGGCAACGGCGTCGGGGGAGGGACCTGGCAACGCGTGGCTCCTCCCCCCACCACGCCGCCCCCTCCCCTCCGACGTCGCTCCGAGGGGCCAACGGTCGCCCCCAGGCCGGAGCCCGAGCGTGGCGACGCCGCGCGCGGGGTGAGGGCGGGG